GCAGCAATGTTCATAAATCTTCCCGATACACCATCACTGAAACAAAATCTACCGCAGGTCACACATTCACCACACACACACATAAATCTTCCCGATACACCATCACAGAAACAAGATCTACCGCAGGTCACACATTCACCACACACACACATAAATCTTCCCGATACACCATCACAGAAACAAGAGCAGGTCACACATTCTACACACACACATAAATCTTCCCGATACACCATCACAGAAACAAGATCTACTGCAGGTCACACATTCACCACACACACACATAAATCTTCCCGATACACCATCACTGAAACAAGATCTACCGCAGGTCACACATTCACCACACACACACATAAATCTTCCCGATACACCATCACTGAAACAAGATCTACCGCAGGTCACACATTCACCACACACACACATAAATCTTCCCGATACACCATCACAGAAACAAGATCTACCGCAGGTCACACATTCACCACACACACACATAAATCTTCCCGATACACCATCACAGAAACAAGATCTACCGCAGGTCACACATTCACCACACACACACATAAATCTTCCCGATACACCATCACTGAAACAAGATCTACCGCAGGTCACACATTCACCACACACACACATAAATCTTCCCGATACACCATCACTGAAACAAGATTCACCGCGCAGGTCACACATTCACCCACACACACACATAAATCTTCCCGATACACCATCACTGAAACAAGATCTACCGCGAGGTCTATACACACACATAAATTCACCACTGAAACATCTTCCCGATACACCATCACTGAAACAAGATCTACCGCGGGTCACATTCACCACACACACATAAATCTTCCCGATACACCATCACTGAAACAAGATCTACCGCAGGTCACACATTCACCACACACACATAAATCTTCCCGATACACCATCACTGAAACAAGATCTACCGCAGGTCACACATTCACCACACACACACGTAAATCTTCCCGATACACCATCACTGAAACAAGATCTACCGCAGGTCACACATTCACCACACACACATAAATCTTCCCGATACACCATCACAGAAACAAGATCTACCGCAGGTCACACATTCACCACACACACACATAAATTACCACAATAATAACTGGCAAATGCTAAAATAACATGAAAACTTACAATTTCAGCAACTGACACAGATAAATACGGTAATTGCTGTAAATGTCTGAGGTATGTTAAAAGAGTAAATCCTATATGGACGTGTTTCAGAACCCATCCCAGTAGACGGTCTCTGCAGCAATACTAATGCTCCCCCGACTTGTATTGGAGACTAAAGGTCCACGTGTGTCTGTGGTGCACACACACAATATAAGTTAGGATCACCCAATTCTTCCATATCACTTCAGCCAATCTGTCACAGTATTACAGCTTGATTATAGTGATATCCAAGAATCTAGTGGTCAATTTTATTTCTAGCAATACAGAGACACAGCACTTTAGTTAAATTAGTTGTTGGTGTATACACAAGATAGTGAGCTAACTGTAAGCATTGATGAGAAATTATAAACAAATGACTTGTCAGTGAAACATTGGGAACAGTGGCCATAAACAGTTGTGAGACAAAGGGAGGCAACTCTTGTAATCCACTGCCTGAAGGTCAACGGCAGCTGCACAACACTGGATGTAAATGAGATGGGGACACATTCAAGTGCTTCACATGATGGGAACTTCACATTTAGGAAACATCAATCACTATGTCATGTTTTTACAACTTTCTATGAATGTCTCCCCTGACGTGAATGTGTTGAGTGATGTGATTGCCTCAGTTTACAACATGTGACATGGTGCATGATTTCCGTTGTCATCACAATCAAGGCGACAGTGCCTGGCACCATGACAAGTTGACAATGGTAACACTGACAAGATGAAGCTCACACAAGCAGCTCACTGCAGTTGTAAGCACTGATGGACACAGGAACAACATCCAAAGCAGCAGCTTTTAAGTTTTGACTGGCTTTTTTCTGAAAATAATGAACATTGAACGTGAATTTCATTTTAACATGACTTCATTACATCTATGTCATCACATATTGAAGAAATCGGAGGCATGTGAAAGCTAGTTACCATGGTTACATGTAATGTAGTTGAGATTATGGAATGACAAAACAACATGTGGAACCTCAGAAGGAAATCAGATACCAGTGTACAAACGTTGTCCACAAAATATTACATGATTGTCTTAACACTGAGCAACATCACTGCAATGATACAGAAACACAACTGATGCTTTGTACATTATAAATGCATGGTTCTGGTTAAGGAAACACTGTATACTGATAAACAAACTTACACACTTCCCTGAACTACATGTAGTGCAACAGCAGTTGTTACGCATGCAAAAGCAAGAATTAATTTACGTTTTACAGGAAACTGTATCAGTCTGTCATACGGACTACATGGAGTAAATGTTTGTGTGATCGCACCTCAAATCGACTTGCCACATACCTCAACCTGCCTGTCATACGGACTACATGGAGTAAATATTCATGTGATCGCACCTCAAATCGACTTGCCACATACCTCAACCTGCCTACAAGCAAAACTTCCTCCCCTTTTGATGCTACAGACTGTACGGATCCGACATTTACAAGGTTCAGGTGTTCAGTGTTGTATTCCTCAGTTTGTTTAGCAATATTAACAGCAGTATCATGATCCATTAAGTATGGTGGTAACAGACGCTCTATCAGAGACACATCATGCCCTATATGACAAACATGCATTAAAACATACAGACTAAACATTACAATTCTATTATAAAATATAGGCAATAGCATACATAGAGTCCCCATACATGACTAGATACACTGGACTAACTAGTAGTGCTTGCTTCTGTACTGTCAACAGTCACCTATACAGAGGACTTTGCAACCTCTACCATAGCTGAGTGAGTGACTTAAGTTTAATGCCAGGTCATATCACATGAATGGTCAGAAACATGTGCAGCTTGGATTGATCAGATAATGGCAGATTCAACGGTTTCATTCAGGTAAGGGGACATAACCCCTTACTAATGATTATCGAAAAAATTGTCAACTAATTTACAAATGCTTGATTAAAATGGCTTCAAAAGTCAATAGTTGGAATCAGAATCATCACATATATTCTAGTCTGAGTTACATGCACATAATAAAGAGAAAAAACACGAGAGAGCTGACTTTTCAAACCAGAATATATGTAAATTCTAAGATCTCTATACCTGTGAATGTTGACAATACACTAATACACTCAACATCTGATTAGGAGACTGTAATATCAGCTGTGCTTGTACATATATACTTGTAGCTACACCTCCTCGTGACAACAATATGCTGTATGATGGAGCATCAACTACATACAGATCTATACGCTAGACAGTGTAATGGCCAGCAGAGACACCACACACAGGGATAAGAATTGTTATTTTTCAAAACAGAAACACCCTGTGAACAGATCATCCCAATTCTTTGAAAAAGAAACACACTGAGAGTGAGCCGGGAGTTGGGGATTATGATGTACATGAATATTACTATCACAAAGGTGACCCTGGACCACAGAATTCGTCAGATCAGTAAGATATTCTCATCCCTGTGTACAGAAACTCTACAACAATCTTCATGTGACATTAAGTTGTAACAGATCATCAAAAAATCTTACAACATTATTGGTAGAGGATGTATCATGTACATTAGACATTTGCTGAAAGGGTCACTGATTGCATGACACAAAAATGTCTCATGAACAGTTATTTATCAAAATTATAAATAAAAAATTAGAACACTTATTGATAATTAGTTTACTACAGTAGAAATTTCTCCTGACATAATATGAATTTGAACAAATCCATCGCTAAATTTCCAATACCAAATGAAAAATGTTTCAATGTGATACCTACCAGTGCTATTCTCTCGTAATATTTGAATCTCATCCACAAATAGGTTTTTCAAGCATCATGGGTTTTTTCAACAGTCTACAGTTTCCCTCACTGAACATGATATATGTTATTTACAAGTGAGATCAAGGTGATCTAACATGGCACACAATTCACATTGTTCCAAGCATTATGTAACATTTCACACTGGATCATCCTTTAGGCTTTTCACCAACTTGTTGACCTCAGGCAACTGATCCATGGCTGATAATAACACTACATAGGGATTCAAACCCATACCAACTCCACAGAAAGCTAACACTGGATGTTGGGATACTATATGTACCCTTATCACAAACCCTCAAACAGGGATTTGATTTATAACATGACTGCATGATTTAACGTTTAGATGCAAATCTAGCAGTTCGGTCAAAATACAGACATAATGGCAAGAATGAGTCTGCACAATGTCTAGAGTCTGCCTCAGTGAGGAAATGGACAGAGTAGCTCAGTGTTTGATCTCTGTCCGCAGCATACCAATTATTTAAATCGTTGTTGCTCTGCCTGGTACTCGGGGGGAGTCAGTGTTCTGTGAGTGGGGTGTCTACACTGCCGCATGGTGTCTCAGTGGGGCAGCACTATAACATCAGCATTACCAGTATAAGGCTCGCAATGTCCGAACCTTCACGTTAAAGTTTCAACATACTAGTTGACACATATCATGCCATATCCTAATGTTTTCGGGGCAGTTTGGTAGCCCAGTGGTTAAAGCGTTCAGTCATCACCCCAAAGAGCTGTGTTCGATGTCCCACATGGATTCAACGTGTGAAGCTGGGGTTCCAGTCATGATATTGCTGGAATATTGCGAACAGCAGCGTAAAACTCACTCACTCACTTATGGACACATGAATCACAAATCCCCAGACAATGAAGTGAAATTATACACAACACTTGAAACAGTGAATAACTTAAACGTAAACATGAATGTAAACGTAAGTAATTTGGCAGGTATGGTGTAAACACTGAGGGAGACACTGAAGGCATAAACACGCACAACACAACTTTCAACTCAGTCATCACACTTCATATCGGCTAGAGCACCACCCACAGGTCAGAGGTTACATTGTGGCTTAATATTTTGATTCTCTTTTTCAAAGTATATTTGCACTTGGTCCCATAATGCACCTATGTCGGAAAGGTTAATGACTCAGCAAGACTATACTAGGATTCTCACTGTTGACTACAATATGAGAAATATTGGTCACTAAAAGATTCGTGAGATAAAGAAACAAAAATCTGGTTTAATTTGTACATGAAGTACTCGGTCACTCAGTTATTAATGAGTGTATACCATAAGCGTCTCCCTCAATCAAAATAAATAGTAGAAACTGATTTAAAATTAAACAACAGGAAACATCAGCAAAGATAAACTAAACATGAAATGACAACACAAAGGAGAGGCAAATTGTACAAATATAAACTAAATAACACAAGTAAAACAAGTTTTGAATAGCACTTAGAAGTGAAACACAAACAGGGGAAATGTATGGCTGTCAGCTTCAGTATAGTGAGGAACATGGCTGTAGGAGTACCGTAAACTGCGATCAGAATCAACTGTTGTTTTCCCCCGACCACAGGCGGCATATTTTAGTTGAAATGTGTGTCATGAACTATGGTTATAACAAATTAAAATCTGTAGGGTCCTTGGAGTTCACCTGGTGAAGGAGTAAGAAAGGAAATGTTGTGTTCCACACAGAAGCTCACATCCATAAATTTGCCCAATTTAGGAGAAATCTTTCCAAACTATCTAATACACCACACAGACTGAGTGAGAGGAGGTTGAATATTTCTTGACAGAATCAGCAATGTTCCAGCTCAACGGCCTGAATATGCCAAGTATAGACTAGGGACTACCCGAGACAAGTCACTTACAGCAACTAAGCACACTGGGTTGGACGATATGTGAGTAGCTAGTCACAGAACCTGCCCCCAATCCCCGTTTCAGTCATCTCCTTAAAAAAATCAGTTACTGTGAGACCTATTCGGACTACTACAAGATGACAACAAAATGAAGCAGTTTATTTTTTCTGTCCAACAATTGTTATTTGGAACAAAATAGTAATAACCATTATAAGGATAAATTGTATCCCTTTTGATAAATATAACATCTTTCATATTACATGTTTTAAATTCCTGAAAATTTATAACCCTTCCTATCATTTGAAAAAATGATTACAAACTGATCTTGAATTGGTCATATGCAACACTATGGTGAGGTAGTCTCTCTACAGGTAATGGTTTTGGATACTTTAGCTTTATGTTGCAGATTTGGAAATTGCTTGATCATTCATTCTGCAAAGATCTGTAGCTTCTCCTTCCGAAACAGAGTAAGAGGAGCTTCTACACAAACTTGAGTATTACTCTGTTGAATGAGTGAGGGAAAATACAAAATGTACCCATGAGGAATATCATAGCTTTAGAGAAAATATATGTTTGTTGAAAAACAATTTTAACAAACAGGTTACAGTATATGTCAGGGTCTTCCTATAAGATCATTTGCTCATAGTGCAAGAGTTAGATGAGGATTTGAGATGACCTTGAACACTATGATCCGACATATGACTACATATTTAACACACAACCTCGTGCCTAGTGGCACAGCACTTACAGGTTTGTGATCATAAAACAGCCGGAAAAACAGGTAGTGTTGTCATATAATATTTCAAAACATATTTCTAGTACAAACTGAGAACCATTTCTGTGTCTTTATATCTAGAACAGCTCTGGATGTATTGACACAGTCCCCAGTGCTTAATGATTCACCACTGGTGCTTCAGTTTGTGCTTCTCCATGAGTATTGTATCATGAGGTATAGATACGAAACAATACAACACAAGGACATGTGAAAAGGTATCAATTTAAACATACTATTTTTGTGACAGTGTCCATGAGTCATACAATTACTGTTATCATTGACTTATGATATTTTTGATTTTCATTTACTTACACCATTTTTCATTCTCATTTTCAAAATTAAAAATGCAGGAAAAAAATAAAATAAATAAACATAAAAAATTTCCTTTTGATGATGGAATACTTCAACTGAACATTCGAGTATGAAGTTTAATGTATCATATCCTATACCACATTTCATCCTTACAGTTGTAGATATGCGATGCAACAAGGAGTACATCCTAGTGCTAATGGGAACCTAGACAGAAGAACAGTCACAGGAGAAAAAGAAATGACAGGTTTGGAAAATACAATAATTCAGTACAACAAAAACTGTGTCTTTGGTATGAAATACTAAAAACGCTTGGTGCCACGAACAAAACCAAGGCCTATTACAGACCACCATTAGCTATGTGTTTATGGTGCCTGTTACGGAGTTTGTACCCGTTGGCTTTATTTGTCTCCTTCTGTAGAGGGTCTGGGAGATCCTTGCCGTTACGTTTCCCATTGGGGGATGTATTTTGGGGAGCACGCTTCTGTTGATTGATTGGGGCATATTCTTCTGCAGTCTGAAACATTGACAGGGAATTTGGTTCAGTGTCGATTAGAACATTTCAGTTACACTGTAGCATGTTATCTTCATCTGGGAGATAAAACCAGAGGTGATGCAAGTCTGGAGACATTTAACACTTTAGGGAGACCCAGGCACAAGGAACTTACTCTTGCCTGTATTTAGTTTTGAAGCCATATCTCATTTCAATTAAAGAACAGGTGCTCTGTATGTAAGAGCATTAATACACCTGTAACCATCACATACTATGTAGCAGCATATCCTCTGCAGAATACATGTGATGATGATGAACTCACCTTCCATTTGTTCTTGCCCCACACCACACACCCAAATATACAGATGAAACTGCTAACCATCTGCAAACAAGGGAGAAAGGGAGAAAGTAAAGTGTATGTAAATATACATCTAATGGTTGATAGTCTAGGCACGGAATCAGAGTTTTAGTATATGGTTCAGTACAATCATATACTGTACCTCCAAGAGAAAATGTTAAGACACATATTTTCAACAAAATTATCAATCAAAATATTATTTTTATGAATAAACAACAGCTTTAATATGATGTAATCCCAATTATGGTTATGTGTGTAAAATAGGTTCTTTTTCTATCGATAAGAATCATGACATGCAACTATTGAACTGTAAATGAACATTTTCATTAACACATAATGATTTAATTATGTTTGAGGAACAAAAAGAACTGGGTTTTAGTTAAGATCTCCATGTAGAGATCAAAGGTCATATGAAGTGGATGGTAGATCAGACACAAAATGCCTCATACATTCATCCTTCCCTTCTATTAGATGTAAATATTTCTGCATATGGGAAGTCAAAAGCAAAGGTTCAACTTGAATAGAAGACATTATATTACCAGCACAACTACATAGCCTCACCTGCACTGAAAGCCAAGTTATAACATACAAGTAGTCTGTCTGTTTAAATAAGTCAGCTCCAAACTTCACACACACAATAGCTTCTGTTAATGTCACCGCACTGAAACACAAACATTCCTTGTCAGGCCACTTTAACCATCTGCAAACACTACGGATTAACTATCTTTCATAATTTGTTTATAGAAAACAGGTCTGTCTGCCTCATTTTTAATTTTTAGTTTTGATGTCAAAGGCACATAATTTAATCTGTGAAAATGCTTGGTGTATTGTCTACACATTATCCATGATTGGGACAAGGCGTGGTAGGCAAAGGTTAAGGCATTCGCTCGTCACGCTGAAGACCCGGGTTCTATACCCCCTAATGGATACAATGTGTGAAGACCATTTCTGGTGTCCTCCGCTGTGATATTGCCAGAATATTGCTAAAAGAGGCATAAAACCATACTCACTCACTCACTCATAACATTAGTCAGATGACCTATAACAACAGGAAAAGTTAAAATCTCATAATTCCAAACTGGGAATTTTAGCTGACATTTTATGCCCACTCAGGGCACATAGATCTAGAAGAATCCTTAACATGATTGGGAGATACTTGGTATCTGCCACACAACACATTGACTTTATATTAATATTGACAGTTAGGGTAGACCTACCAGTAGATCCAGCACTGAGTACCAACCCGCTTACACCGTGTGTCCGTCACATACACATAATATTGCCTGGACAAAGAAACAAAGAACAATGTAACAGTATCTGCAGTACATTCACTATCACATTAACACCAGTTTTACTTACATATGTATCCATGACAGATTATTTACATACTCTACATGAACCCAAAATACCAGTTGGCATTTGCAATTTATGAATGAAAATCAAATCCTATTATCTGGTAATGGTCTGAGATTTTCCATTCTGCCATTATTTGCTTTTTGTTTTGAATTATGGAAGATTTTTTCCCCTTCAAAACCAGAAGGAAAACAAAATTCCAAATTATTCCCATTTTTTAGTCTGATAGCACAAAAATCAGTTATCTAACAAATAATAAAGGCAGGCCTCAAAACATGTAAATAACAAAAATTAGTGCTCGTTTGATCAAATAATCAGTCAATCGATCGATCTCGCTTGCTTCAGTGATCATCGATGAGCTCTGGAGACTAATCCATATTCATAAAAAATGAAACATCAAAATAAACTTATGTTTGTTAAATCAAGACATAAACAACTGATGCCGTTTCCTGACTCGTAAAACTGCAATGTAAACAATATACTCGCCTGTGTCTCAACAGGACTATCCTCGATCGTCTTGATTGTGGTATTTATCGGTGAAAGTTTCGTTTGTAAATTAATAAATTGGATGTACAATGGATCAATACTTGATATAAATGTTGAATGATACTTTAATTATATAGCATTAATCATTAAAATAAGATAAAAGATGCATGCTTGGATGACTCACCTAATGGAAGGTGCTGATATAGCACAAATCAACGCTAGTCGAATAACATTGATTATATGTGAGGGTGGTACCCAAAATATATGCTTCAGGAAAAATGTGTTCAGTTCTGAGATCTGAAACAGAAATATCAAAAATTGATTAAATGTACTGCATACCTTGTGTACTTTTAAAAATTTATACACATACAGTATCAAATATATTTCACTGCATCTGTGAAATGCAAAACCCTTATCACTCATAAATAATCATTAGTAGGTATTATTAAAGTTTCTGGACATTTACATTTTCGGGAGTTTTTACCTTTAGCTATTTAAAACAACCAGTGTTGCAGAAAAGTAATTTTTGCCATAACAAATTTATCACCTTTTCCACAATCAAGAAATATGATATTTGCACACAAGCATAGCTTGAGTTTCACTTTTGAAATTTGTTGTTGGTAAAAGCGACCATAGCGCTAAGCCACAGAGACTCTGATACTTGAACAGAGACTTATTAGCGACAATTCACTTATGCATGACTGCAACAACCATCCAAGATAGAGTCCTGTTCCACAAAGTGATCGCTAAGGTGACTCTCCCACATTCTAACAAAGTGAGTGACTTTAGTTTTACGCCACACTCAGCTATATTCGAGGCACAAGGACGAGCCATATGGCGGCACTCTGTAAATAATCAAATCTGGACCAGACAATACGGTGATCAACAGTATCAGCATTGATCTACACAATTGGGATACCATGACACATGTCAACAATGTCAGCGAGTCTGACCACCCGATCCCGTTAGTCGCCTCTTACGACATGCATGAGTTACTGAAGATCCATTCTAACCCGGATCTTCATGGGTTCGTTCTAACAAAGACTTACAACTATCATAGAGCTATGTTTGCTTTGTGGGTCCCCACAGGGACGTTTCACGTGATGACCTTACCTGCCAGAAGACGATGAGGATCCACACAGCAATGACTCTCATGTACGTGGAGTTGGGGTCCAGCCATCGGACATGGGTCCAGCTGGAACACGATGTTGATGTGTACAATCTATCCAAAAACTCTGAGTCTGCTTTCACAAAACTATCTCTCAGCATCATTTTTAGTGGACTCTAAAATCAGCATACAGACTTTCTTAACTGAGCATACAAAATGGATCAAGACTGGCTTCAGATTAGTGGTAGTATTTACAGACTTCTCTCATACACTGCCAGTAATAACTGGTTCCACTTAAAAGAATCTCAACAATGAAAATTGTTCCAGTGATGCAACTTTTCTCAAATGGAGCTATCACAGGTGGCAAAGTTTACACTACAATCTTTACACTGAATTTACTTTTTTCAATCTTAAAGTAATCTTAACGTTTGGGAAGGAAACTTATATCATTTGAAAATGATCATGATGATCACAGAAATTTCCATTAAATAGTACTGACTGATACAAAGGGATGTTCTTGAAGGACATAGTACTGATTGATACAAAGGGATGTTCTTGAAGGACATAGTACTGATTGATACAAAGGGATGTTCTTGAAGGACATAGTACTGATTGATACAAAGGGATGTTCTTGAAGGACATAGAAATGATTGATACAAAGGGATGTTCTTGAAGGACATAGTACTGATTGATACAAAGGGATGTTCTTGAAGGACATAGTACTGATTGATACAAAGGGATGTTCTTGAAGGACATAGTACTGATTGATACAAAGGGATGTTCTTGAAGGACATAGTACTGATTGATACAAAGGGAAGGGATGTTCAAAGGGATGTTCTGAAGGACATAGTACTGATTGATACAAAGGGATGTTCTTGAAGGACATAGTACTGATTGATACAAAGGGGTGTTCTTGAAGGACATAGTACTGATTGATACAAAGGGGTGTTCTTGAAGGACATAGTAGTGACTGATACAAAGGGATGTTCTTGCAGGACATAGTACTGACTGATACAAAGGGATGTTCTTGAAGGACATAGTACTGATTGATACAAAGGGATGTTCTTGGGGGACATAGTAGTGACTGATACAAAGGGATGTTCTTAGAGGACATAGTACTGACTGATACAAAGATGTTGCATCAAGTATTACTATGACTGGAAATATGACGAGGTGTATTCAGGGTGAGAATAACATCCAATACTTCCTTCATCACGTCAACCATACTGCTAACCTCACCTAACTTGAACAATATTGTGTGGCAATTTACCTTCTAGGAATGACATCTGCAGTAAGAAAATGTAACAATACAGTTTGTGTTCACTGCAAATATAACCAGACAAGTGTAACATGAGCCAGATACCGTACTGAATGACAAAAACAGTTCAAACAATAGTGCAACACTTTGCCTTATCTATATTTCATGGCAGTCTTTTTAAAGAAGTCAGAACTTATTTGACATCAACTTGTATGTTGTTTGTTAACAGATGTAACATTGTTCATGCTATGCCCTGTTGCCTGTGCATGCCAATTTTTCTTGAACATTTCTTATTGAAAACATGGCATACACAATACAAGTTTTTCAAGGGTGACAACTCTAGCACACTTAAATAATGTTTATGCCATGGAAAGTTTGGGTCACTGAAACATCAATATTCAGTGCTATAATAGGAACACATTCTGTTTCGTATTGATGTCTGGACGTCTCAGGATTAAAACTGTGAAAACAGTGGTAAATGTCCTTGTCATGGCTAAACTGTTATCAATGTTTTGTAAACATACGACACGCACTTCCATTTAGCCTGCCATCCACAGGGATTATCTCTCTTGTTCATATTTATTCTCTTGTAGAAGACGTGACAGCATTGCTAATTAATCTAGTGCAACAGCAGAGAGGTTAACGTTATGGCAGCTCGATTCTTATTATTTTAACTGGTATCATTTGACAGCATCACTGCTGGCTTAGACTGCTACCATGCTCACTGCTGCTACTGCCCTACTGCTGCTGCTGCTACCATCATCACCACCACTACTACCATCCATCACTACTGCTGCCTCTACCACCATCATCACCACCACTACTACTACCACCATCTACTACTGCTGCTGCTACTGCCACTCACCTGCTGCTGCCACTACTACCATCATCACCACCACTACTACCACTGCCATCACTGCTGCTACTGCTACACCACTACTGCTGCTGCTACTCACCATCACCATCACCACTACACCACTACCATCACCACTACTTACCGCTGCTACCACCATCACCACCACTGCTGCTCACCACCACTGCTACTACCACTACTACTACCGCTCACCACCACCACCTGCTACCATCACCACTACTACCACTGCCATCATCACTGCTGCTGCTGCTGCTACTACCATCATCACCACCACTACTACTACCATCACTACTACTGCTGCTGCTGCTACTACCATCATCACCACTGCTACACCACCTACTACCACCATCACCACTGCTGCTGCTACTACTACCATCATCACCACCACCACTCTGCTGCCACCACCACTACTACTGCTGCTGCTGCTACTACCATCATCACCCACCACTACTACTACTACCACCACTACTACCTGCACTACTACTACCATCATCACCACCACCACCACTACTACCACTACCACCACCACTGCACTACTACCATCATCACCACCACTACTACACTACCACTACTGCTGCACTACTACCACCACTGCTCACCACCACCACTACTACCACCACCACCATCGCTACTACTACCACCACCACCACCACCACTGCCACCACTACCACTACCACCATCACCACCATCATCACCACCACTACCACATCACCACCACTACTACTACCACCACTGCTGCTGCTACTACTACCATCATCACCACCACTACTACTACCACCACTACTACTGCTGCTGCTACTACTACCATCATCACCCTACCACCATCACTACTACTACTACCACCACCACTACTGCTGCTGCTACCACTACCACCACCATCATCACCACCACTACTACTACCACCACCACTCACTACTGCTGCTGCTACTACTACCATCATCACCACCACCACTGCTACCTACTACCACCACTACTGCACCACCACTGCTACTACTACTACACCATCACCACCACTACTACTACCACCACTACTACCACTGCTGCTACTACTGCCATCATCACCACTACTACTACCACCATCACATCATCACCACCACTACTACTACTACCATCACTACTACCACCATCACTACTACCACCACTACTGCTGCTGCTACTACTACTACCATCACACCACCACCACTACTACTACTACCGTGTATGTGTTTGTTATCAAACACTGCACTGAACATTATTCCACCCACATGATGTTTCATAGATATATATCTGTACAAATTGTTGACTACAACTGACAGGACAGATCGTTGACGGTTTTCGAGACAGGTGTCAGTAGAGTGTTGACAACATGTATGTACTGACCTGGCAGGTGTGAACTGCAGCACTGCCCGACCCAGCTTCCCTGTGGTGGAGTGGATGTCCCTGAAACATGGAGATGACATATATATTCAAGTGGCAATTAGAAGCTACAGTATCAATAACTGCAACTTGTCCCATGGATTTTTGCCTTATTTTGTTCTTTAATGCAACAAGATACAGGTGCTGAAATCTTTAACATGGTAGTGATCACCTGTTTGATAAAATACCACCACCTGTCTCCAATGTTGTAGTATCTGATTCAATTCCAATCAAGCAACAGGACAAATAAAAATATATTGATGGGGATAAGCTAACAAAGGAAATACAAAGGTTTCTTATTCTTTTCCATGTTTTTTTCACAAGCCTTGTATTGCACTGTGGGTGGACATATGATAATAAATGAAGGAACACTGCACTTAAGTGGTGTTCCCTTCTTTGTTTCCCTCAGTATGCTATGAGTTAACAGGAGTGAGTGAGTACGGTTTTACACCAATTTTAGCAATATTCCGGCAATATCAAGATAGCGAACACCAGAAATGGGCTTCACACATTGTGCCAATGTGGGGAATCAATCCCGGATCTTCAGCATGACGAGCGGACACTTTAAGTACATAATTGATACCCTAATATCCCAATACGTTTGAATACATGAGTGCATATATGTAAATATATATATATACATAACCATATCTTTTGCACTCTTTAACACTGTCTGATATTTACCAAGAGACAATCATGGATGTTTTTCTGTCTCTTAACGAGTATGTTTCAATTAGTGTCAGCCACTGATTAGTGCTACCTGGATTAATTATTGACGTGCGTGACAACTGAAGCCTACCATACCTCACTCAGGATGAGACAGAGCAGACACACGTTTCTGCCAGTATCTCAACACGGCTGTGCAGCCAGACAGGGCACTAGAAAGCTAAATGAGTTTTTCTTATTCAGTTATTTCAGACCATCACAGTCTGGCTCAAAGAAAGTAATAATGAGAGTGATATTGTTTGTTATTCAGGTCTGAGCAATACTCCAGCCTTATGACGGTGGCCTGTAAATAATTTAATCTTGACGATTCAGTGATCAATATTGTGAGCAATGATCCATGCTATTAGGGTACAGGGTGGTGAGGTAGCCTAGTGGTTAAAGCGTTCGCTCGTCACGACAAAGACCTGGGTTCGATTCCCCACATGGGAACAATGTGTGAAGCCCATTTCTGGTGTTCCCCGTCGTGATATTGCTGGAATAAGCGGCATAAAACTAAACTCTCTCCACCCACTTTTTATGTGGAGACAAATATTTCATGATTTGACTGTGATTGCTATTACAGGTCAAATGTGGCCTTCTGTAATGACATGCTGCTGATAGAGGTTGAGTGTACAAGACAGGTAGGATAACTGTAGGTACTAGGAGACACTACAAACAGAAGCTTCTCAAGCCAGCCCACTGAATGGCTATGACTGCCAACATGGTCAGTACTTTACTGAAAAGTGTAATCCCAAATATAACATGTGTTGCCAACAGCTAGGTCTAGGAGAAAATAGAAAGAGATGTTTCCTAAGCCAGCCCACTCAGTGTCTATGACTGCCTACAGCTAGGTCACATAGAGACAACCACAACGACAACCACAACGACAACCACAACTACAGCCACAACTACAGCCACATCTACAACAACAGCCACAAAACCACAACTACAGCCACAACTACAACTACAGCCACAACTACAACTACAGCCACAACTACAACTACAGCCACAACTACAGCCACAACCACAACTACAGCCACAACTACAACTACAGCCACAACTACAACTACAACCACAACTACAACTACAGCCACAACTACAGCCACACCTACAACTACAGCCACAAAACTACAACTACAGCCACAACTACAACTACAGCCACAACTACAACTACAACCACAACTACAACTACAGCCACAACTACAGCCACAACTACAACTACAGCCACAACTACAACCACAACTACAACTACAACCACAACTACAACCACAACCAACTACAACAACACAACTACAGCCAACTACAAGCCACAACTACAACCACAGCCACAACTACAACTACAGCCACAACTACAGCCACAACTACAACCACAACCACAACTACAACCACAACTACAACACAGCCACAACTACAACTACAACCACAACTACAACCACAACTACAGCTACAACTACAACCACAACCACAGCCACAACTACAGCCACAACTACAACTACAGGCACAACTACAACCACAACTACAACTACAGTCACAACTACAACTACAGCCACAACTACAACTACAACCACAACTACAACCACAACCACAACTACAGCCACAACTACAACTACAGCCACAACTACAACTACAGCCACAACTACAACTACAGCCACAACTACAGCCACAACTACAGCCACAACTACAACTACAGCCACAACTACAACTACAACTACAGCCACAACTACAACTACAGCCACAACTACAACCACAGCCACAAGCTACAACTACAACCACAACACACAGCCACAACTACAACTACAACTACAACTACAACTACAGCCACAACTACAGCCACACTACAACTACAACTACAACCACAACTACAACTACAGCCACAACTACAACTACAGCCACAACTACAACCACAACTACAACCACAGCCACAACTACAACTACAACCACAGCTACAACTACAAGCTACACTACAACTACAGCTACAACTACAACCACAACTACAGCCACAACTACAACCACAACCACAACTACTAGCTACACACAACTACACCACAACTACAACCACACCACAACTACAACTACAACTACAACTACAACTACAACTACAACTACAACCACAGCCACAACTACAGCCACAACTACAACCACAGCCACAACTACAACTACAGCCACAACTACAACCACAACTACAACTACAACTACAGCCACAACTACAACTACACAACTACAGCCACAACTACAACCACAACCACAACTACAGTCACACAACTACAACTACAACCACAACTACAACCACAACTACAACTACAATCAACTACAACCACAACCACAACTACAACTACAACCACAACCACAACCACAACTACAGCCACAACTACAACCACAACTACAACCACAACCACAACCACAACTACAACCACAACTACAACCACAACTAACAACTACAACCACAACTACAGCCACAACTACAACCACAAGTCACTACAACCACAACTACAACTACAGCCACAACTACAACTACAACTACAACTACAACCACAACTACAACCACAACCACAACCACAACCACAACTACAACCACAACTACAACCACAACTACAACCCAACTACAACTACACCACAACTACAACCACAACTACAACTACAGCCACAACTACAACTACAGCCACAACTACAACTACAGCCACAACTACAGCCACAACTACAGCCACAACTACAACCACAGTCACAACTACAACTACAACCACAACTACAACTACAACTACAACTACAACCACAACTACAGCCACAACCACATACAACCACAACCACAACTACAGCCACAACTACAACCACAACTACAACCACAACCACAACTACAACCACAACCACAACTACAACCACAGCCACAACCACAACTACAACCACTACACCACAACTACAGCCACACAACTACAACTACAACTACAACTACAACCACAACTACAACCACAACTACAGCCACAACTACAACCACAACCACAACTACAACCACAACCACAACCACAACTACAGCCACAACTACAACCACAACTACAACCACAACCACAGCCACACAACTACAACCACAACTACAGCCACAACTACAACCACAACTACAACCACAACTACAACTACAACCACAACCACAACCACAACTACAACCACAACTACAAACTACAACCACAACTACAGCCACAACTACAGCCACAACTACAACTACAGCCACAACTACAACCACAACTACAGCCACAGCCACAACTACAACCACAGCCACAACCACAACTACAACCACAACCACAACAACCACAACTACAACTACAACCACAACTACAACTACAACCACAACCACAACTACAGCCACAACCACAACTACAACTACAACTACAACCACAACTACAGCCACAACTACAGCCACAACTACAACTACAGCCACAACTACAACTACAACTACAGCCACAACTACAGCCACAACTACAGCCACAACTACAGCCACAACTACAGCCACAACTACAACTACAACCACAACCACAACTACAGCCACAACTACAACTACAACTACAGCCACAACTACAACAGCCAACTACAACTACAACTACAACCACAACTACAGCTACAACCACAACTACAACCACAACTACAGCCACAACTACAACTACAACCACAACTACAACCACAACCACAACTACAACCACAACTACAACCACAACCACAACCACAACTACAACTACAACCACAACTACTACAACCACAACTACAACAACACAACCACAACTACAACCACAACTACAACTACAACCACAAACTACAACTACAGCCACAACTACAACTACAAACAGCCACAACCACAACTACAGCCACAACTACAGCCACAACCACAACTACAGCCACAACTACAACCACAACTACAACTACAACAGCCACAACTACAACTACAGCCACAGCCACAACTACAGCCACAACCACAACTACAACCACAACTACAAACCACAACCACAACTACAACCACAACTACAACCACAACTACAACCACAACTACAACCACAACCACAACTACAGCCACAACCACAACTACAACCACAACCACAACCACAACCACAACCACAACTACAACCACAACTACAACCACAACTACAGCCACAACTACAACCACAACTACAGCCATGGTGAGGTGATCCTGGCATTCAACTACAGGCCAACTGGGAACTGAAGTCTGGTGAGGTGTCATATCTCCAGGTAATGAACATCCAGCCAATCAAGGTCAGACTCCAGACCCCCTTACACTCAGACATGGACAACTGGGTGAACCGTCACTGCAGGTTTCCAGT